GGGGGCCAAAACAGCCGCACCGGCTGGGACTTGCAACGCTGGCGACCCCTCTGCCTGGGTATCTCCTGGTCTGTGGGCAATAAGAGTTCGTCTGGAAATGCGGCGTCCACTCACCCTCTGCACTTTCACTGGGAGCTGAAGTCCTGAGCTGTTCTTAGGCGGCCATCTTCCCAGCATTCCCCAGAAAAACTTTCTTTAAAACCAGTCATTTGAAACTTGAAACCATCAAGTGCTCCATCATATGTATAATGGGAATCTCTGAAGGCTATAATGTCTATGATCAAAGCATCAGCAATTTAGTTCCTGGTGAGGGACTTCTTCATGGCTTGCAGATGGAAGCGCTTTTAATTCTGGCTGGGCGAGACAAGGTTTTATCACATTGGCCAGGCTGGTCTCGAACGCCTGACCTCAAATGATCCACACACCTCAGCCTCCCAAAGCACTGAGATTACAGGTGTGAGTCACTGTGCCTGGCCAGAAGTGACTGTTTTATTTCTAACCACTTTCACAGAGTTTATCTGGTTTGGAATTTGCTTGGCTTCTTGAATCTGAAGGTTTATGTTTGTTGCCAAATATTGGAAGGCATTATTTTTTTTGAGTGCTTCTTTTTTTCAGATGGGGTCTCAGTCTGTTGCCCAGGTTGGAGTGTGGTGGTACAATCAAAGGTCACTGTAGCCTGGACCTCCTGGGCTCAGGCAATTCTGCCACCTCAGCCTCCTGAGTAGCTAGGACTACAGGCACACACCACTGCACCCAGCTAATTTTAAAATTTTTTGTAGACATAGGGTCATACTATGTTGCCTGGCTGGTCTTGAGCTCTTGGACTCAAGCAGTTCCCACCTCAGCCTTCCAAAGTGTTAGGATTACAGCCATGAACCACTGTACCCGACCTTGAGTATTTTCTTAGCCTCCCTCTTTTCCCCTCTACTTTGTTACACAAATGTTAGATCTTTTGTTATGATCACACAGGTCTCCGAGATGCTGTTCATTTTTTTTTCAATGTTTTCTCTCTGTTGTTCAGATTGGATAATTTCTGTTGTTCTGTTTCCCCGTTTTTGGTGCATTCTTTCCTTTCCCTTCCACTCTACTCTTAAGCCCATCCACTGAGCTTTTTGTTTTGGTTATTGTATTTTTTTACTTCTAAAATTTCCAATAGGTTCTTTATATTTTTTTATTTCTTTGCTCAGATTTTTTCATTTGCTTCAAGTGTGTTTATAATTGTTGAAACATTTTTATCATGGCTGCTTTAAAATATTTGTCAGATAATTCTAGTATCTGTATCTGTGCCATCTTGGTGTTGATATCTTTTTTTTTTTTTTTTTGAGATAGAGTCTTGCTCTGTCACCCAGGCTTGAGTGCAATGGCGCAATCTCTGCTCACTGCAACCTCCGCCTCCCGGGTTCAAGCCATTCGCCTGCCTCGGGCTTCTGAGTAGCTGGGACTACAGATGTATGCCACCATGCCTGGCTAAGTGTTGATATCTATTGATTGCCTTTTAAGTTCAGATTGAGGTTTTTCTGGATCTTGGTATGACAAGCGATTTTCTCTTGAAACTTGGACATTTCTGTTTCTCATTCTTATTTAAACCTCTTTTAGCTGACTTTGACACCACTCTAGCAAGGGAAGAGGAAACATCATATTACTGCCAGGTTGTGGTCAAAGTCCAGCTTCCCCACCTGGCCTCCACTGACACCTGAGGTGGGGGCTGTTTGCTACTGATGGGGTGCAGTGGGGCTCCCGGCTGCCCCTGTAGTTTCCATTGACTCCAAGGCGGGAACAGCATCACAACCCCTGGGTGCCGGCGAACGTTCTGCCTCCCCACCAGGCCCCTCTGACACCACAAGAGAGATTGTTGGGCGCCTCATTATAGCTTTGTGAGGGTAGAGGTCAGGGCCTTTGGTGGTCTGGGTGGGACCCTGTTTTTTCTGTGGTGCTTGGCTGGAGTAGAGCAGTTATGCATTGTCTAAATTTTCTGTCTTGCTAAGGTGCTCCTTTCCTGGTCCTCTGGCTGGAAAGAAACGGCTTTGTGTGTGCCCACTGGTGTTTCCACTGGGGGTTTTAATTGTACTTAGTGGGAAGAACAGGGAAAAGAGCATCTACGATCTCCGAGACACAGGCGCTGGTTTACTTTTGACAGCTATTGTCAGTCCTTGTTACATGTGGTGCACGCGTTAGTTTTCAGTTGTTTTTTTCTTAAGGGTGCATTTTGCTATGCAGAAATGTTTGGTTTTTATATAGTCAAATATATTAATCCTTTTTAAAAAAAGGATTAAGAGTTTTATAACATGTTTGGAAAGGCCTTTCTCATACCAAGCTTATGAAAAGAAACCTCCCTTTTCTTCTAGCTTTGAGGTGTTGTTTTTTTACATTTAAATATGTGAGCCGTCTGGAATTTCTTCTGGTGTAAGTAGGAACAGGAATCTCCCTGCACCAGTTCCCCACTGGCTACCCAATTGTCCCAGCTCCGTTTACTGAGTAATAAATGTTTTATGGTGTTAGGAAAATTCTATTTGGTAAATGGTTGTTTATAATAGTGTTTCTAACAGCTGAGTCCTGACAAAAGCGGTCTCAAAGTCCTAGAGGCTGCATGGGGGAAGGGATGCTTCAAACTTTAGCTCTCCATGGTTGTTAGTTGCTAACAGCGGGTACAGTGTGAGCTCCAGGCTGGACAGTATGACACAGTAGTGGTCAGCCTGTCCCTTTCTGGGACTTGGATACTCTCTAGGTTCAGGAGCCAGGGGCGGCCATGGCTGACTAGAGAGTGTTTTGAGCTGCCTTGGAAAGTGCTCCAGCTTGAAAGTTCTTCCTCCTCCGTGACCAGGTCATTCATTGCTGAGGGATGATCTATCCTATTGTTCAACAGTAACGCCCCAGCTGCCTGGGAGCCTGAGCATCTGTGAAGGGGAGGTCCATGGGGACATGGAGGAGTGTGACAGAAATGAACCCCTGAAGGGGGAGAGAGCAGTGGGTGGAAGAGGCCGGGGATTCTGCCTCACACAGAGGCAGAACGTGTAAGGTGGCACCAGAAGAAATGATGATAGCGGTGATGTGTCCTGGTGCCCTGCTGACACTAGTTATGACCCAGCCTTTCTCTTCGGGCTGTCAAGTTTCTTCTGCTAAGGAAAGGGTGAGGGATGTAGGGATGAGGAACCCCTCAGTCTGGAATGTGAGGCCCTCCCCCTCTGGGCCTCAGTGGACTTTCCAACCCAATGCAGTGTGGCCTACAAAGCCCTAATTGGGAGTAACAACCTGGGATTTGGCTCCCTCTCTGCCATTCACTGGTAGGCTGGCTAGGAGAAAATAATTTCCCATGTCTGGACCTTGTTTTCTTTACAAATAAAACTGGGTACTGAACTAGGTAAGTGATTTTCTTTAAGGCCCTTTTAAGAAATGGAAGACTCCACAGAAATTCAGGTATAAAAGCATTCAGTGCTGGGCAGCCGGGGTTGAAGCAGGTCTAGGAGCAGGGGCTCTGGCAGCTGGAGCCACTGGACCAGATGGGGCTCAGGTCCCTCCGCTGGCCCTGGGCCCTGCTGTATAAATAGAGGTGATAATAGAGTGGGGCAAATGAGACAGTTGTCTGGAAAGTGAGCAGAGCGGGAACACAGGTATTCCATCAATGAAGGGGCCGCTAGGACTGCTTGTGCCTTCCCAGATCCTCGCCTTTTGGTACAGCTCAGTGGCCCCTCCATCCTCTCCCTGCCACCAGCCCTCTGGGTACACTTTACCGCTGCATCCTTACCACAGCATGGCTTCAGGCTGGTAGCTAGTTGTTTATGTCTAAAACTTAACCTCCGTAATCCAAGCAAGTTCCGGAAAGGAGACCGCTTCCTTTCACAGCTCCAGATCCTCCAGGCTGCCTGGGAGGCAGACATTCAATTCATGTCTGTGGGGGCAGGAGAGATGCCTCTGCAGCAGTAATAGAACAGGACCTGGTGTGGTGTTCATGGCACGACGTTCTTCAGGAGGGAAGGTGAATCGTGGGCTCCTGCACCTCACAGGGCATCTGTAACTTTTAGAGAGTGCGAGATACAAAGCCAAACAGCCAAGCTGTCATCTCAGCCCAACAGCGCAGGACGTGAATCACCGACCCTGAGCCTGCGTCTTGCCTGTGTCCGCGCCTCTGCCAGAAAACAATCAAGACGCTTTCCAATTCAAAGACTCGGAAGAGTAAGGCTGGGTTCATGTTGCTTCTCATTTATTAATTCAGTCTGTTCTAAGTTGTACAGTTATGAAAATAACAAAACCAAAGCTGGAAGCCCGGGAATATTTACACTCTCTCTTGGGTAGTGAGGTCAGTCTATGTTGTTGCACAGATTGGTTATGTTTGGTACCTCAAAATGTTTATAATTCAGACAAAATCAGACAGATTAACAATTATATGTACAGTAAAACAAAAGGGGAAGTCATTCAAGTATCAAAATACAGAGGCAAAGATTAAATAACAAACATTTTTATTACAATTCAGTCCATTGCCGCGCCATGAGCAACAACACTTGCGAGCTGCTTTCTGCCGGCCTGGGCATCTCAAAGACAGACCGCGATCAGACTGGTTTTCTAACGTCTCGATGACTGCAGCGCTGCCTGCTGCCTGCTCAAACCCCAGAATCTCTGGAACTCCCACTAGTGTCTGCCGCTGGAGGGCCCAGGAGGTACGCGGAGCGCTGCACACACAGAGCCTGTCGGGAAGGTCCTATGCGAGGAGCAGCTGGTGGGCAGGGGAGAAGAGGTGGACAAGGAGCCTGTGGCCGGGACAGGTACTGAGCCCATCTGAAGTCTCCCACCTGAACGGGCTCCTTCACAGTTCAGAAATGCAGCAGCAGGGTCTGCCCCTCGTGTGACCTGCACTGGGAGAAGTGCAAAAGCGGGGACCTTCCCACTTGAAGCCTGTCCTTAAAGTTATGATAACCTTTCTAAGAAAGGGAGACTACCGGCCCCAGAGGAGAAGGAAGGAAGGAAGGAAAGGAAGAGAGGAAAGGGAAGGAAGGGAGGAAAGGAGAAAGAGAGGGAGGGAAGGAGGGAGGGAGGACCCAGTCATTTTCCTTTCTTGAATGTTCAGAAATAAACCAATCTCTAAACAAAACCCAGAGCCAGAGCAGACTAGCCAAGGCTTCCCATATGAAAATACCCTGAATAAATAAAGATATAGCAGCTTCAAGCGGAAGAAACACCTATGGATGATCTAAGCACAAAAGACAGCTTGAGGAGCGCATCGTAGTGTCTGCAGTTTCTTTCAGACCTCCCACGCCTGACAGAGGCCCACTTAGACGTGGCCTGGCCCCTCAGGAGGAAGAGACGGGTGCCACCACACGCGCGGCAGCAGCACAGTCTGCTCCGGATGGTTTAGGGTTCCTCGTCAAGCCCTGGAAGAAAGTCGGGGCTGAGTACTGTACGGCATGAGCTCATGGGAATCCTCACAGCCCCTGAAAGGAGCAGGAAATGAAGTAAAACTGCAAGGTGTTGAGGTCTTCGTTTAGTACCGAGAAGTGGAGGAGGGTCTGCCTCTGCTGCAGAGGGAGCTGGGTCCCAGGCCCCACTCTGTTGAGTGCTCAGCAGACAGAAACTCACAAGGCCCGGCTTCAAGCCAGCCAGAGACACAGCCCCACTTCTGGCCAACACCACGGGTTGAGAATGTGCCCGAGAGCAATGCTTGCACATACACACCAACAAAGAATTTAAATTCACAGCCTTTGCTGGGAAAGAGGAGTGTTGCTGAAACCTGGACTATTCATCCTGGGACCAGAATGACCCATGCCAGGAAAGCTCGGAGCCTGCTAAAGTGCCCACGGGAGGAACTGGGCACACAACTGAGCCAGCTTTGCCTCTCAACCCCACAGGGGGTTCCCCTGCGTTTCTACTCTAGTCCAGAGGGAAGAATGAAACCCAAGTTACTTTTAAAAGCAAAGCGAGCCAGTGGGAAAGCTTAAGCAGCAGTGGCACATCAGGATGCCAGCCTGCCCCAGAGGCCATGCTGGGGAGCATAAATGCACTGTCACCTTATTTAGCCTTTTTCCACACCAGGGGCCAGGGATGAGCCCAGCAGCCGAACATGTAACTGTCAAACCAATAATTCAGAGAATCAGAATGTGCCCCAGTCACACAGGCTGATTAGACAAATCACAAATTAGCAAGTAGCAACCTTAGCTGACCTACCCCAAATATTAATGCCCCACACAAAGCTGCTTTTCCTGTTCTCTGACACACTACAGGCAGTACGGCACCAGCCAGCCTGCGGCCAGCCAGCCCAGGGTAGTCCTCTACTCACTGACAGGTGAGAGGCCAGGGAGAGGCCTGGCACTCTGGCACTGGCTAAGACTTCCCAGCACCAGAAACTGCACACTTATCTTCATTTGGCCACTGAACCTTCCCATCAGGAACCCCAGAAACAGACCAGAGACCTTTGTTTTGCCCAGGTGCCTTTAAGGCCGTGTTCTTGCAAGAAGCCTGTGTCCAGCCCCTGATGGGGACAGGAAGTTGGGCAGTTCATAAACAGCAGCAGCTGACATGGTTGTTTGAAAAGCAGACTCACTCTACTCAATTCTGCTGGAGCCTGCTCCGTTCCCCTCACCCACAGACCACCGCCTTCTCTTCAGACCCACCCAGATCCTGCACCCAGATCCCATCCTGAGGACAGAGACCGTGCAGACTGGCCTCTGAACCAACCTCAGCTCCCCTGTCCTCTGCCCAATGGCCATTCGTCTAAAGATTGGCAGTATGACCTAGAGGTTTGAGCCAAGTGTTAAAAGTTCATTTTATAAAAAGATTTTTTTTTCTATTAAAAACAATGTGTTCTGAACAAGTCACTTTCTTGACCCTCTGGAATGCCAGTCCCATCTGCTAGCGGCCTGGAGTGCTTCTCCGCAGCCAAGGCAGGGCTCACTCTGCAAGACGCGGTGGTGGCAGGCCCAGGCCAAGTGGCCAAGAGGGCGTCCTGCAGGCGGAGGTGAGGCCTGGGTCTTCGAAGCTGCAGGCGAGGCGGTGGCAGCGGCGGTGGGAGCCTGTGCCCCCACATCTATGTTTCCGCAGCACAGTGTGGTTCCTCAGTGGCTCAGCTTGGCAGAAGCAAACAATGGGAGGAGGAAAGGGTTAACCAATGGGGCCTGCGGACGGTGGAGGAAATGGAAAGGAAACAAAGCAGGACAGATCCCTCACAGCCTCCCCGGGTGCCCTCCACGCCTGCACCCACGGCCCGCAGCCCCCAGCCACCGCTGGCTCAGCGAGTCTGCTCAGGAAGGCACAAGGATGGGCGGGTGCGCAGAACCCACCCCGTTTATCGACTTGGGTTTTGAGTGTCGTGGCCGACCGGCTTTCCTAGTGGACTCTGCTACGTGTGCACGGCCGCCTACAGCACCTCTTCCTTCCTGTCTCCTGCCATCCAAACTGATTTGCCCACACTGGAGAACGCGGGGCCTCTTCAGAGACTCAGCTCCACCATCCCAGCTGCTGAGCTGCTGTGAGGGGATGGCCTCTCCTCTCGGAGGAGTCAGGAGGCTGAGGGAGGCGGTCAGGGGTGCACTGGACGGCGCTGACTATCTGCGATCCCCCACTGTGGAGCATGTCAGAACGCTCCTGGAGGACATGGAGGCCACTGGGTGTAGGCCCGTCCTCCAGCGGCTCTGTTCTGTGAGGGAAGAAGGTGCGCCGTGCATACAGGGCACAGGCCGCCGCCTCGCTGGTCCTTCGGAAGGCCTTCCTCCTCAGTGAGCTAGCCTCCAGAGCCAGGCCCAAGGCTTCCAGGCCTCGAGATTCTGTGGCGAAGATACGAGGGGCCACCCACACACGTGCCACCTCGCTCCTTGGAGGGGAAGGCTCATCAGGACTGAGGCACCTGCTGTGTGAGCCAGCCTGTGAGTGTTCAGATACCCAGAGCCCCAAGCGGGGCAGTCAGCACAGGCCCAGGGGCCTGGTGCATTATCTTGGGCCCTGACAGAAAGCAGTCTGTCCCTGGTCAAGCCACATCACTGAGCTCAAGGTCTCACACGGGCCTGGCCATGAGAGTGAGGCCAGCACCTCAGAGCAGTGGAGGACAGTGGGGTGGGGCTGCAGGCCGGCTGTGAGCAGAGTGCTGGGGACTCTGGCACTGGGTGGTCACAGTGGTTGGTTGTTTCAGGAGAGGTGAGGACAGTCAGCTCTCGGCAACAGTGCCCAGCTGTGGCTCAGTACAGCAGACAGACGGAGGGCGCCGCACAGAGCCCAGCCCAACCCCGGGGAGCTATCAGTGCCACTGGGAGTCTGCTGGAGACCACCCTGCCCGTCAGGGTTCACAGTGCCTGCCTGTGGAGGCTTCTGGGGTGCAACAGGCCCCTGGAGCCCTCTTGGTGCCCACCTCAAAGGCAACTCACCCCCCCCAAGCTGTCCTCAGCCCAAGGGGGAGAATTCACAGTGTTCAGTGGTGGTAGGTGCGAGAGCTGCGAGGGTACAGCGTCTACGCTGCTGCCCGCCCAGGAGGAGCGGGTCCCAGTGCAGGTGGGGCCGTGGCGTCAGCAGCTGGAAGGAGAGAGTTGAGGACAGCAGAAAGATCGGATGGCAAAGGCACAGTGAGACTAGTGGAGACAGGGAGTGGGTTGTTTTAGAAGATAGTGGTCTCATACTTGGTGCTGAGGCTCCGCTTAGAGTCTGGTTTGGGGTCCACAACCCAGGAGACACTGGCATGGGATTGCGCATCTTGGTCCATATCAGGTGGTTCCAGCTGCCAAACAAGGAAGCGGTCAAGAGTCAGAGGGAGCTCTGTGCCAGGGCCGGAGGCAGCAGGCCCCAAAGGCCCCTCCCAGCCCCAGGCTGGGCTGTGGCCCCTATGCTGGGAGGGGCAGCCCTCATTCTCCTCAGCCAAAGAGCAGGCCCCTCCCAGAGCATCTTGGGGAGAGCCATCTCCAGGCACAACTTCTCTCAGGGATTTCTTGGGATTTCTCAGTTAAAGGACCCCTGTCCTACCTGGGCCTCCTGCTGTAAGCCCCAAACCCACTCACATTGGGCAGGAAGGGGATGTGGGGCTTTGAAATGCCAAGCCTCAGATCCCTCTGCTAGGACCCTCTTGCTCACCCCAAGGCAAGACCCCCATAGTCACCCCAGACCTCCGGAGAGAGGACACACAGCAGAAAAACAAGAGAGGGCTGAAGCACACACAGGACAGGCAGAGGGCATCTCAGGAAGAGGGGAAAGAATGTCACACAGGCGGGAGAGGCCACCAGAGGCTGAGAGCGCTCACGGTCACTTCGGGGAGACTGACACACAAGAGAGCAGGAGGCGTAAAGACCTTGACTCCAGGACTAACAGACGGCAGCGGTAGGTAGGAAGGACGGTGGGTGGAGCAGGTGTGACAGTAACAACAGCGACTATCGGGGGGCAGCGGCACCTGGGGTGCAGAGCAAAGCAGACACAGACACAGGGACGGCGCAGTTACTGGGGGCTGCCTGCCGGCTGCTCTCTGCAGCCCCTTGATGGCCTTGCCCTTGGGGGAGCCCAGCAAGAGAGGGAAGTGGGAGCGCCAGAGGCCTGCCCAGGCCAGAGGAGCTGCTGCCTTTCCAGGGCAAGACCTGGCGAGGTGGGGGGCAATTAAGAAGGTCATTTCCCTGGAGGGCTAGCTTTCTGGAAGTGCCAGAAGACCCTTGTCATGCTGGCCACCCCAAGCCCTTGAATCCCTGGGGCCAGGGAGAGGGGGGTTCTTGGCTAGTGGGACCCACGTACTGCGGATTTCCTCACGCCGACCCGAGGCTTAGGCACCGGTTTGGAAGATTTTGTTTCAATCATCTCAGCTGCAGAGGCGCCCATCGGCCTGGACTTCTGGGCCTGCAGGGCCAACTGATAGGCCACCTCAAAGGCCTGCCCCAGCGTCAGGATGATTTCGTAGGTCAGGTTCTGGGAGGAAGCAGATCACCCACTTAAGCGCCTGGTTCGGGAGCCGATTCACCCACTCCTGCCCTGTCCTGCCCCTCACCCTGAGCACACAGGCGGCATCTGGGGTAAGAAGAGAACACTGGTTTCGAAAAGACACAATTTGATCATAACACACTATTTCCTTCTGCAAGATTTCATCTGATAGAAACACTAGGCAAATGCAAAACCTGCTGCTGGCTGAACCAAGCCCCTACCACACCTGGTACGGTAGCTTCACATTGGGCATGCCATTCCTTGCAGGGACCCCGTGTGCCCCTCTGAGTCCACCTGGGAGCGCTCCTCCCTGTTTCCTGCCCTTTCCCTCCTTTTATTCCTCCTAGATCCCAGTGGTCCTCCCTGCTCTACACAGGATGTGGCCAGGAACTGGGCTTCGGGGAGGGCAGCTGTACACCCCTGCCAGCCCAGGCAGGGGCCATGCCTGCGGCAGTACTTGAGTATTTCTTAACCATTAATATGAATAAGTGGTGCTGGTGCTTTTAATGTGTCACCGACAAAGTCTGTGAGTGCTGTGCCCCTAACTCTACTTCCCCATGAACCCTGTGGTTTTTATTGTGTGATTTTGCCCAGCACAGCAATTTTTAGGAGAAGATACGTGGTGTTACAGCAGAACTGAGTACGTGTGGGAAAAGTCAGCGACAGGTGAATGGCATTCTCCGTGTGCTGTGTGGACCACCTCCTCCATCTCACAGCAGCCCCTGAGGTGGGGCATATTATATTCCCCTCCAGACAGATGAGGAAACAGGCAGACGTGATGTTTCCAAGCTCACACAGCCTGGAGCCTTCTAACCTTCCCTGGCCCAGAGCAAGCAGAGGTGCTAGGGTGGATGAGGTCCCGCGGGTGTGGGGATGCCCAGAGCTGCCTGTGTTCCAGGAGCCACAGAGATTCTGGAACTAGCTGCTGCCCTGAGGGTGGCAGGGACCTGACCCCTCTGACTTCCTCCTGGGGTGAGGAGGTAGCCTGGGGCCACTCCCAGGCTTTGTCACAGGTTAGAGGGAACCCCTGCCATGTGGGCTGTCGTTACCAGTCTTCTCCCTGTGGGCAGCTGTGTGAGGATGAACTCTCCTCAGCCCAGCAGCACCCAGAGCCAAGCCTCAGCAAGAATTTGAGGGAAGAAAATCTACTGCAAAAGAGGGCACTGCTGCCCCTAAGAGAGGAGTAGAGCACGTTTCTGGGAGGCAGCCCAGCCAGAGGTTGGAGGGCGAGGGCAGGGAGCCAGGGGAGACAAAGGCCTTGTCTCACCTAAGAAACATTCACTTAAAAGCTGGAAAGCCAGGCACAGTGGCTCCCACCTACAATCTAGTGACATGGGAGGCTGAGGTGGGTGACTTGCCTGAGCCCAGGAGTTCGAGGCCAGCCTGGGCAACACAGGGAGACTCCATCTCTTAAAAAAAAATGCTGGAAACCCCTTGTCCCTAGTGCCCCACTCATAAATCAAGCATTTGCCAGGCACCGGCCAGGGCCAGGACAGCGCCACATCTATACCGTGCGATGGGGCTGGACGCCTCGGGACTGCCACCCAAGTCCACCCTGCCCGTCCCCAGGACCCCACCCACCACATCCACCGTGCTGAACACATGGCAATAGTGGTGGCTGGTCTGCAGGTCCTTGGTGATGTAGGCGAAGGTACAGAGGTCCTCTGGGTCCTGGGCGGCACAGGAAATATTCCGGATCTCATGCTCCGCGATGACGTTCTGTTGGGGAAAGCCGTGTTCTGGAATTCTCAGGCTCACATGCGTTTGGTACCCCCCGCCCCAGCCTTTTGCCATTGTCACTGTTCTCTCTCCCAGCCTGCAGGGTCAGCCAAACTCCCTTCCTCTTCTCATTTTGTTTTCTGGTGGGGGTAGGGGATGGTGTCTAACCTTGCACAATTTCAGTTTGGGGTCTCCACCCTTGACCACAGCAACTAAGACAGTAAAATGTTCAAACCCAACCATGAGCTCTCCCCAGCCTCTCTCACCTCCCAGGGTGGGGGCAAAGTGGGAAGGGTGTCAGGAAGGTGGGATTCCACACAGTCAGTGGTGCACAAGGGGAGTCCTTTGCTCAGAGAGGGAATCAGACCTGTGAAGACCTGTGAGCAGGAGCGTGGCCAGCAGAGCCCAGGTGGAGAGGCTAAGAGCCGCTATGACTAGGGTGGGGAGGGGGCTGACAGCAGGCACCCAGGCCAGCAGATGAGACACGCCTCTTGGCGAGGTGGTGAAGTAGGAAGTAATAAGAGTGGGCTGGGGACCCTCTAGAGAGAGAAGGGATGAGAGAGGGCAGCCGGGTTGCTTGCGCTTGGAGCCCTGTGGCTCTGTTGGGGACATGGGTCCCACTCCCGCCAAGAGTCTCTGTGAGCAGCACACCTTGTTGGAGGCATCGATGAACTTGACACCTTTGTATGTGATGGACAGGATAATGGTGGGGATCTTCTTCATGTGCTCGGTGGATTTCTACAGGAAACAAGAGGGGGCCCTATCAATGCCCCTTCTCCGGGCTAAGCCTCCTGGGATTCCATAGGTCCCAGCTTCCCTCCTGTCCTTAGGTAGCACGGCAGGGCCTAGCCAACTACAGATGTTGCCCCCATTGCTGCCTTCTGTCCTGGTCAGTCCCATGGCACCCTCCAGCCCACACAGACACCCCTCTGCCCCGCAAATGCCCCCCAACCCACCACAGGCACACCCGACCCTGTGCAGGCACCCCTTGCTCCACACAGGCACTCCCCGCCCTGCATAGTCACCCTCCACCCTGCAGACAACCCCCCACCCTACACAGGTACCCCCTACCCTGCTGACACCACCCCAGCCCACACAGGCAATGCCCCAACCTGCACAGGCAACCCCCACTCCACAAAGACACCCTCCCACCCCACACAACCTCCTGCCCACCCCACATAGGCACCCTACCCGCATCTTGGCACAGGCATCCTGCGTGGATTCTGTCCCTCGAAGATCTTTGATCAGCATGGAGCCCAGGTACTGTGGGGGCGAGCAGTGGCTAGGCTTAGGAAGTCCTGCGTTTCCATGCAGGGGTGACCCAACCAATTTGGGACTGTCCCACAGTCAAGTGGTTACCCCTCCCAACCCCTCTCCTGCCCCAGCTGGAGAGGTCCTCCATTCAACTCTCTGGCTAAAGGACCAGATGCCTCCACCCCTTCCCCCAGTGCCAAGAATGGCTCAAGAGTGGAGAACAGTGCTCGACCTGGGCCTGGCTTTGTGGAGTCCCTACTGGGACTCAGGGCCGCAGGTGCAGATGCCTGGCTGAGAAGGGGCAGGGAGCAGAGAGGCTGGCCCTCCTGGGAGGGCGGAGGGCAGGAGCAACTCACATTGGCTTCATAACCGCAGGACTCGAAGATGAGTTTCTCTGGCTGGTGTTGCCAACTCTGCACTGGGGCGTAGGGCGCTGCCAGGCTGGGGGGCCGCAGGGTCAGCTTGGCCTCGCGGTGCTCCTCCTGCAGAACGTACAGTCAGACACCTACTCCTTGCTCCAGAGGAGCGCACAGGCTCTGCCCGGCTCCAGCACACCCAAGGGAGAAGATGCCAGTGACCTTAGCAAGTTCAAGGGTCAAGTGGAAAGGGCAAGGGGAGACCAGCAATTCAAACATACTGCGGGGGAGGGGAGGCGCAGGCGACAGCAGAGGCACAGCAGGGACCTAGACCACCTGAGAACAGATGAGTCTCAAAGGAGATGGGAGATGAGCAGAAAGGAGATGGCAGAGTCTGTCAAGGGCACAGGCTGCCGGGCTGTTCTGCACAAAGACCAAAGGGGAAAGCAGCAGCCACGAGACCCCGGGATGCCTTGGGGCCCAGTCCAGGGCCTGGGAGGGATCCTCAAAGCCAGGAAGCCAGTGAAGCTCTCATGCCTAGGAATGCATTTCAAATGGATCCTTCGGGCAGCAGCTGAGGGGGTGGGGAGGCCACTGTGGTCCAGGTGAGAGACGATGGGTTCCTATCTGGGCGCTGGTGGAAGGAATGGAGAGGAAGGAAAAGATTCAGGAAACACAAAGCCCTCCCTTCCCAGTAGCGCGCAAAGAGCCTCTCAACGGCAACTGGAACCGCTGGACGGTGTGTTTTAAAATCCTTTAATATTCCTGGCCGTGCCTGTGGAAAGGGAAGGGAAGTCCCCAGAGCCAAAGTGAGAAGTGAGAGTCAGAGACACAGGCAGGGGTGAAACTGAGGTTCACACGGAGGGGCCTGAGGGACACATGCCAATCCTCTGTCTGACAGGCCAAGAAGACAAGGACAAACCCAGGGTCCGTGCAAGGCGGGAGGCAGAATAGGCAGGTCTTGAGTCAATCCGGGCCCCCTGGAAACGATGCCCTGAGAGGGTGAGCCAGGAATGTGGGATGGGCCCACCTCGGTCAGGGGTAGGGCAGGCACCGGGAGTGGAGGTGGGGTCTCCAGCAGTGCCCCCCACGGGGCTGCAGGCAGAGAACGGGAAGAACAGTCTGGTCTGGCTGTGGTTCGCTGGGCGGGAGGAAGACAAAGCTGCAGAGGCGAGGCCGCAGACAAAGCAGTTCTGGGGAACAGCTCGGGTAAGCAGGGAAGGAAGGGGCCAAGAAGGTGCTCAGAGAGGCCAGGAGAGAGCGGAGGGCTCTGGGGCCAGCAGGGGCCTGCAACGCAGGACACAGTAGGCCACAGAGGACGGGGGATCTGAAGCTAAGGGAGGGAAACGCAAGCCATGCAGCCCATAGGACTGGCCCTGGCAGCCAACAGCTGAAGTGAGTTTTGCACCAGAGCTCAGCGCCATGGAGGAAGGGTGGGCCTTACACAGGGCAGCTGGGTGGGGGCAAGCAGAGCAAGCTGATGCTCCTGACCTTGATGCCAGCCCAACTGTGCTCAGGTATGGGGCAGCAGGTGGTTCTGGGAGGCCCTGTTCTGCCCAGAGGGATGAAGTGGACCCTGGCCGAAGCTCCCCCTCCCCGGCCCCCACCCCATGCCCACCTGGATCCTGAAGCGCTCCGCTCGGGAGGGTGCCGCGGGGTCATGGAGACTGTCGTGACGCCTCCTGCCTGTGTCCCCTGGAGGTAGCAGCAGGTCTGCTGACCGCCCGGTGCAGGAATCATTCTGGCTCAGCGGAGAGGACGTCTGGGAGAGCAAATCTTGGCACTGTGGAGGGAGAAATCGAGGTGGAACTTGCAACCCGCGGCCCAGTGCCTGGCTACAGGTGTCAGCCGGCCCCCTGGTTAGGACGGTGTGGGCAGCCGCACCAGGAGGAGAAAGCAGGGACTGGACAAAGGGGCCAACACCATGGGGGTGTCAGACAGGTGGCACCACACAGCCACCGCCCACCAGTGCCCCCAGAGAGGGCAGAGAAGCTGTTTTTGCACTTCTAAAAGATTAAATCTTCTGTCCTGATCCACTGCAGGCCTCTGCACATGATCAAAGCATCCTCCGGAGAAAAAATTCAGCTCTACAGCCCTAAAGGCCACTGTCCCCCCAGAATACAAACCAGACTCCTCAGTATTTACATTTGAATGTCAGTTGTGTGTTTGGTTCCCAGAGCAAGGCTGGGCCTCCACTTTCTCATCTGTAAGAGGAGGATGAATAGGACCCACCTCACCAAGCCCCTGAGGATTCAATGGGGTGAGCCCTGCTGGGGCAGGCCCAGTGCTCAGGGCTCCGGGAGTGGCTGCTCCATCGCTGCATATTTTGGCCTGGGGCTGGGGGAGAGCTCTCACTCAGCTGCAGGCTCTGAGTCTAGCCCACTTCTGCAGTCAGGAATTACTGGCAGGAGCAACGGATCATGGGTGAGGTTTTTCAAATACAGGCTGTCTTAGTCACCCTAGCCTGGGAATTCGAACTCAGATGTTGGGGGTGCCCAGAAGGCTGTGAGCCCCTTTTGAATTCCAGGCTGTCTCAGGTGTCATGCCACCCAGCCCCTCCCTGTCCCCAGGCACAGAGCCAAATTCAACGCCCAGGCACGGCCAGCTGTTTTTCCTACTATCCCCCCAATTTTAAATGTTTGATCGGCCATCCCCAAATAGAAACGGGTGGCTTCTCTAAAGTCCCTCTCCTGTGCTTGCTTCTCTCTTGTGGGAACTGCTTTCTCCTACACTATAGTGGTCTCTGAAGAATCCTCAAGATTTCTACGGAATTCCTACAAATACAGAGGAGAAACATACATTCCTTCCCGTCTCTCCCCGACTCACCCTCAGCTGGGAGAACCTGGGAGGCTTCTGCGGCGGCTCTTCGTAGGGCCTGTCTGCGAGGGAGGCGATGATGCGCTTGCGATGGCCGAGCAGCTGGACCTTCAGGACCTGCGTGACGAGGAGCGAGGAGGGTCAGGTGGCCCACGCGCCCACAGTCCGCTCCAGCCCCCAGCGCTCTCCCGCTGGGCCAGGTTGCCCCCAAGGGAAGCTCAGGCTTCTGGAGGGTCCAGGCTGGGCCATGCAGGGGCTACTCACGTTGACGAGCTCTAGCTCCCAGAGGTTCTTCACGGTGTCAATGGAGCTGTAACCACTTGACAGGAAGGAATGGACGTAGTCCTGCAGCCCCAGGGAGTCCAGCCAGGAGGGCACCGAAGGGGGGCTGTTCCCGTCATAGCCCAAAGCTTTCACCTACAGGGCCAGGAGGGAGGCGAAACTGACATCTCAGCCGTCACAGGAGAGGGACCCAAGCACCATGACCCAGGCCAGCTCACACAGACTGTGGCCAAGGAGGCCCTGCGTGCCTGGGGTCCTCAGCACATTTGAGTGCCTCTCCTTGCACAGCCCTCCCTATCACTTGCTGGTCTCCGCTTCCCCACAGGGAAGGCAGTAGTCGCGGGGGCTCTGACAGCGCGGGAAGACGACCCTAGCAGGTGAGCGGAGGTTCGGAGGAGGGTCTGCAGAACACCTCTGCCCTGAGCTCTGCTGAGGTCATGGGCCAGAGGGACAAGAGAATTGTGTGTGCCCACAGAGCGGGCACCTCCCAAGTCTGGGCAGGTGGAAGGCATGGCTGGACTCTGCAGCACAGGTGCAGGGGAGAGGCTCAGGCCCACTAGCTCCCGGCTCCCCAGGGAAGATGGTGCCTCCCTCAAGCCCACCTGGGGAGGGGCCCAGCGTGGGCTGGCCTGGGCTCCAGGGAGCCAGGAGACACGCTGTAGGGGGCTCTGGGTGAAAGTCCAAGGCAGTGGGTAGCAGGCTCCCAAGCAGGGCAGACCACCAAACCTCCTCATGACCCCTGAGGAGCCGCTCCCTGCCCAAGGGCTCTCCTGGCTCTTCAAGGGCCTGGGGCAGACTGAGGAAGCAAACAGGTCTGTGTGGCCCCTCAGGAGCTCTCAGGGTGAGGGGTGGAGGCCCCACGTGGTGTGCGTGTGCCGAGCCCTGCTCCTCCCGCTCTTGGTACAGGTGGTGCTAGGGAGGTGGCCCTGGCTCCACACGGCTGAGGCTACAGGGCTGGCGACGGTCACCTTGGGCAGGGAGCGTGCGGCCTGGAGCAGCTTCCGCCGGTGCTGTGGGTCGCTGATGCCGATGTCCCGCAGGTCCTGCTCTTCCATCACGTTAGACCCCTGAGAGCAGAAAGGTGGACTTCAGAGCTCCTCTTGGATGGATAGATGGTGGCCCTCAGGGGGTCAGGTGGGCCTTTCAGGGCCCCACACCAAATTCTCCCTCACTGCAGGTACCAAGAGGGCATGGGGACAAATCTGCCCAGATGGCCCACGACCACCCAGGCAGCTCCCAGGGGAGCTGGGGGCTCCAGAATATGCACAGAATATGTAGGGTGCTGAGGCTGGCCAGGGCGCACAAGGGTGGGGGCGCTGCCTGCCCAGGCCCCACCTCGAGCCCCAGCCCCAAGTGTGCGTGTATTTTTCTGCGGAGCAGGTTCCACGTATCCAAGATAAAGAACTGGTGGGCTCATCCCAAGGTTCCTCTTAGACAGGATTTTATAATTCTGAGGCTACGACAACCACCTCAGGAGGGCAGCTGGTGACAGAGGTGGGTACCCGAGAAGCCAGCCTCACCCCGAGGAGGAGAGGAGCCTTCCAGGGGGAGACTGTCAGAGAAGAGTGTCCTTGTCCCAGAGAGAAGGTGGGTCAGAGCTTAGCCCAGTTTGTGCTGCTCCCTGCCAACCTCCACCAGCCTCAGTGGAGCAGCTGAGGGTGGGAAGCGCAGGGAGCGCCCACCACAGCACTAAGGGGAATCGGATGTGAGGCTGGAGGCTGGCACCCTGCTGCTTTCTTGCTACGTGGCAGAGCCGAGAACTTTCACCTGGTGCGTCCCACTCCATGCTCATGACACGCATGTTACGGTCTCTGTTAATCCCATTGATCTGTTTTAACAGATGAGGAAACTGAGGCACACAGAGGTCAGACATTTCTTAACACCACACATCTAGTGGTGGAGCCAGGCAGCCTGACTCTTTCCTCCATGCTCCTGGCCCCTGCGAGGATGTCTCTAATTACTCATAATAGTCACAAAATAGTGTGAGCAGATTTAATTTTAAAATACACACTACGTATGGCCTATGATACAAAACTCCCAGGTCTCACCCATCCCTCAGCCATGGAGCCCCTCGCAGTTGTAGATGCTGCCACTTCCTGGGTGTTCCCGGAGCCTGGCTGGGCACAGACAGGCACGAGCCTGCGCACTGCATTTTCACACAAACGCCATTCTCTTGCCTGTTCTTATCACTGAATACACACCGCAGGCTGTTTCGCAGCTGCGCACATGGGCCTGCCTCCTGTGGACAAGCTGCATCATCTGGGTTAGGAATACGCTATCATTTATGCAGCCAGTTCCCCGCTGAAGGACATTTGCTTCAACTTCAGCGACTGCACACGGGGCTGCATGAATACCCGCCCGTGTGTGTGGCATGTCTAGGCCTGCTCGGAGGAAGGGCTTCTGCTGGCTTGAAGGGTGTGTACACTTAGCAGTGACAGCTCTTTCTGCTCCTCTTAGTGATGCCAGTGCTAGATGCCCTACACCGTCAGCCACACAGTGGGGCAAGCGTCTATCACTGCAGTTTCTACTTGCACATTTCTTATCGGAGTAGGATCACTCATCCAGAGGTGAAGCTGAGCATCTTTCCACGTTTTGTCTATCGAGCATTTCCAAAGCACTCCCTCCCCTACTCCATGCTGGACCTGCCCAAGCCATTTAGTCATAGGGACGACTGTTATTCCCACCCTGCAGCTGAGGAAGCTAAGGCCCACAGAGCTCTGGTGACTTGCCAAGGTCACATGGTAAGTGCATCTGGAGCCAGATTCAGCCCCAACGTGCTTGTCCACGTGGCTCTGCTGCCGCATACTTGGGACACCGAGAGCTCCTTTTCTAGGAGTTAACTTGCTTATAGTCTTGGACAGTTTTTCTATGAGGTTGTCAGTTTTTTCTGCATAGATATGTAGGAATTCTTTACATAGTAAGAAAGCTGGCCCAGTGCGATGGTGCACGCCTGTAACCCCAACACTTTTGGAGTCCGAGGCAAGGTGGGAGGATCACTTGAGCCCAGGAGTTTGAGACCAGCTTGACAACCGTAGTGAGACTGTTTCTACAAAAATCAAAAGATTAGCCAGGAATGGTGGTGTGTACCTGTGGTCTCAGCTACTTGGGAGGCTGAGGTGGGAGGATCACTTGAGCCTGGAAGGTCAAGGCTACAGTGAGCTGCAGTTGCACCACTGCACTCCAGCCTGGGTATCCAAACAAAACAACATATGTGTGTGTGCAAGTGTGTGTGTGTGTGTGTGTGTGTACATACAACAGAGAAGTTAACCTTTTATCTAAGAAATGAGTTAGATAATTGTTTTCTAGTTTGCTATTTATCTTTTGGCTTTTATGCTGGATTTGCTCATGAGAAATTTATTTTTTGTAACTGAGTGTACCCAACTTTTCTTGCAGAGCTTCTCTGTGCTGTCAGGTTTAAAAAGATCTTGGCTTTGCAAGATTATGTTTTATATTCTTTTATATATTTTTTTTTCCTATAATTTAACAGTTTCCTTTTTAACAGCTAAATCTGTAATCCATCTGGAAATTCGGGTTTTTTTTGGAAATGGAGTCTTGCTCTGTCACCCAGGCTGGAGTGTAGTGGTGAATTCTCGGCTCACTGCAACCTCTGCCTCCCAGGTTCAAGCAATTCTCCTGCCTCAGCCTCCCAAGTAGCTGGGACTACAGGCACACGCCACTACGCCTGGCTAAGTTTTTGTATTTTTAGTAGAGACGGGGTTTCACCGTGTTAGCCAGGATGGTCTCCATCTCCTCACCTTGTGATTTGCCTGCCTTGGCCTCCCAAAGTGCTGGGATTACAGGCATGAGCCACCGTACCCAGCCCCAGCTGGAAATTCTTTTGATGTAAGGTGTAAAGTCAAGATCCAGCCTTATTTATTTATTTTTTTTTTTTGAGATGGAGTTTCGCTCTTGTTACCCAGGCTGGAGTGCAATGGCGCGATCTCGGCTCACCGCAACCTCCGCCTTCTGGGCTCAGGCAATTCTCCTGCCTCAGCCTCCTAAGTAGCTGGGATTACAGGCACGCGCCACCACGCCCAGCTAGTTTTTTGTATTTTTAGTAGAGACGGGGTTTCACCATGTTGACCAGGATGGTCTCGATCTCTCGACCTCGTGATCCACCCGCCTCAGCCTCCCAAAGTGCTGGGATTACAGGCTTGAGCCACCGCGCCCGGCCCAGCCTTATTTTTTACCTGGCAGCCAGCTGTCCATTTCTTGGTGAGTGATCTTTTTCCCCAATCTGGAATGGCCTTGATGGTGCCCGAAAATTCCTGTGTTATTTCTTGGCCTCTTTCTGGACTTTCACTCTGTTGTGGTGGGCACTACTTTACACTTGGAAAAGCTAAGTGACTTGGGCCAGTTCATGCAGACCCCTGCTGACCTGCTGGCTCCCGCTCCGTGTGGTGACTGCTGACCATGGGAGTCTCCCCAGAGCCTATGTTTGGTGACATAAACTCTGTCCCACAGAGGACACTGCCAGCCTTAAGCTCCAGCGAGCCCAGGTGATGAGAGCCCCAAAGCCAGGCTGGAAGCCCCCATTCTGCTCCAGCTGCAGAGTACACCCCTAGCTGGCACCACTCCAGGTCTGAGGCCAGCCGAGTCACCCCTAAATCTGAGAGTCACCACACAGTTCCCACAGTTGCTCTGGGACCAAATCTAACATCCGTTGTGGAAAGGCAGAGAGAGGCAGCTGCCTTCCCAGATTTTTTTTTTTTTTTTTTTGAGATGGAGTTTCACTCTTGTTACCCAGGCTGGAGTGCAATGGCGCGATCTCGGCTCACCACAACCTCCGCCTCCTGGATTCAGGTAATTCTCCTGCCTCAGCCTCCTGAGTAGCTGGGATTACAGGCACGTGCCACCATGCCCAGCTAATATTTTGTATTTTTAGTAGAGACGGGGTTTCACCATGTTGACCAGGATGGTCTCGATCTCTTGACCTTGTGAGCCACCCGCCTCGGCCTCCCAAAGTGCTGGGATTACAGGCTTGAGCCACCGCGCCTGGCCTAGATTTTCTTTTTTAAGTGGAGTGCAGTGGTATGATGATGGCTCACTGCAACCTTAACCTCCTGGGCTTCAGTGATCCTCCTGCCTCAACCTCTTAAGTAGCTGGGACCATAGGCATGCACCACCATGCCCGGCTAATTTTTTTTTTTTTTTTTTAGAGATGGGGTCTTACTATGTTGCCCAAGCTGGTCCTGAACTCCTGAGCTCAAGTAATCCTCCTGCCTTGACCTCCCAAAGTGCTGTCATTACAGGTGTCCACCACCGTGCCTGGATCCAGCCCAGACTTTCTACCTGACGATGAGGATACCAAAGCGAAGAGCTGAGCTGAGCCTGCCTCAAACCTCCAAGAGGATGTGAATGTCCAAGAGTGACTGCAGTACCGCAGTAAAGTTCTGAACTCTGCTCATCCCAGCATTGACTCCAACACCTTCACCAGCTTTCAGGGCACCTGAAGGCTGACAGCTGGGAAGCCAGATCCACTGGGGACAGGCCCCTCGCTAACCAGACATCAGTCCACAGAAGTGCGGGCTGTGTGCAGCTTTGAGGAAAAGAGATGAATGGAAACACAACAAAGATGAAGGAAATGACAGAAAAGCAAAGCAAACCGTTGCCAGAGCCCATGCTGGGCACAGCGCGGGGTCCTGCAGTTCCTGAAGCAGCCACATCTCCGCAATGGGAATGAGCTTGTGCCGTGACCACCCAGTGCCACAAATCCTCAAAGGGCAAGAAACACTTCTGGAAGTTACCACACCCTCTTTACTCAGGGAGAAGGGGACCACTGGCTTTTAGAAACCTCTTCATGAGAAGGGTCATGGGGAAGAGATTTTATGCTGTATCTGCTACCACACTAACAATTACTGAGTGCTCACTACGTGGCGGGACACTTCTATAATCAGGAAGCGAATAAAGTAAAACAGTCCAGTGCCCTAACGGGGATTGTCTCAGCTTTAAGAAAAGCTTCACAGCTCTGAGTGACATCTGAAACACACAGCTGGTCTTCCAGCCTGGCCTGCTTTAGGTCCAGTCCCTGAGGAAGAGGGGACAGGAGGGTTCCCAGCAGCTGAGG